AATAATTGATATTTTTTTTATTTTAATATATTATATAATAAATTTATTAAAAAATATTATTTTTAATTTAAAATTAAAAATAATTAGATTTAAAAATAATTAAATTTAAAAACACAATTATGTATACAATATATAAGAATTGACTAAATTAATTATATTTATATTATATTTAAATCACTAAATTAAATGAATATTAAAATATATATTGAATTAAAAGGTCCACTGATCATTTTTCATTCACTTTTGACTATACAACATAAAACAATCTTTGGCTTTCCTAACCCTTACCGATCATCTGCCCCAATGAATAATGTCCCATGCCCAAACCCCATATATATATATATATATATATATTTTTCCCTAACAAACTATTCATCCAAAAGGAAAATTTTGCGCTGTGCTAAATTTTCATCATCATCATCATTAATTTCACAATATTTGTTTCTCTTTCACTAAAATTTTGTCCAAAGGAAAATGTCTTTTATACATTTTTCAACTTTTTCCCTTTTTCATCATTTTACCCCTTTAATTAAAACTCACATTTAATAATTTATGAGTTAGAATTCACTTTACATAACTCTTACACAAAATTTTGATTATTGATTTCTTTATTATGAATAATTGAGATTTATTTTACTTTTTTTCCGTTCTTTAAATATAATTGATTTTTTTTTTATGTAAAAAGTTATGACAAATCTCCAACCACATTTATAATGTGGAGATGAATAATTGAGATTTATTTACTTTTTATCCTTTCTTTAAATAATTGATCTTTTTTTATGTAAAAAGTTATGATAAATCTCCAACCCCATCTATAATGTGGAGATGAATGGTCTAGATTATGTAAACAAAATATGTAAGAAGGAAAATGATTGGCATAACTTCCGGTTCAACACACATATTGGTTTAATCATTAAAATTTGCCTATGAAAATTTTCTTGTCTTGAATTCAAATTTGAAAATATTAGGTTCTTAATTATTGAACCAGTGAATGTTGTTAAGTGTATTGAATCGAATAGTGTACCAATCATTGTTCTATATAAGAATTGTATATAAATGGATTTTAACTCATAATTTATATCATCAACAATATCTTTCTTTCATTACTTCACTGTTTGCTTCTAACTTGCGTGCATAGTGAAAAAAGAAGAAGAAGAAGTCAGATATTGTTGGACAAATGAAATATGTGGTATACAATAATAGAGTTTTCTGTTTTATGATCTAAATTATATATACTAAACTATAAAACAAAAAATATTAGATGAGATTACCCAAAATATCAAAGAATTTACCCTCTATTTAATAATTTAATTTATACAATCTAATATAATTTAGATTTTGCAACACTCTTTTAATAATAATATCATAACAAGCTATCAGTCAAGAGCCAGCCAAAAGCTGAGCGAGCAAGGAT